TCTATAAATATCTAATTATGTAGCCCATGATGCATTCGGTGTAGTCTGTTGAAGAATCCGAGGCTTTTTTCCCCGATGCAATGACTGTGGATTTATTATTTTGAGCTATGCAAGACAGATAGATCCTGAGTGACAAACAGCTGATTTTTTGGTTTTGTATTGTGTCATACCTATTTATACATTTATGTGACTGACTAGCAGCATAAATATTTTGATAGCTCAGTTTGTCCTATAAATACATGTGCAAATCACTTAATGTGCAGGAAATGGTTGAGGTTATACTAGCATTTTTAGAGAAGGTGACGACCATCGTATATCTCGGAGGTTTACCAGGAGGTGACGAGTATTTACTAGTTTAGCAGAATACTAGATATAAGTGAGGAGGTCCTTCTGTGTCATTAGTAAATGAGACTCATCTTTACAGGGTTTCTTTGATCTTTTGATTCTTTGATCATAAAATGTTCTAAATCGCAATATTGTCTAGTCCAATATTCAAAGCACAGGATGCACAATATTTAAGGATAAATATGTTTATTTTTAATGAAGTATTGTGGAGCTGCTGATATATTCCAACCTACTAAAATATATTGTACAGACTAACCACAGTATATTTGTTGGTGCATATTATCTTTTAAAAGATCACAACATGATTATATTAATATATATATTATATATTTTTTTTCAATGAGAATAACAATGCTAAAAGAACAATCCCTCCCATATTGTAATGCGGAATTAGTCAAAAAATAATTGCAACTATATATTTTTTCCAAATCGTGCAGCCCTACATATGCCTTGTGAATTATGTCTTATTGTAAGCTAATGTGTGGTCATGTCACCGTGGTTACACATACATATAGGTTGACAGTTTCACAGCAGCCAACTAAACCAACAAATATGTTTTGAATTTCTTACTCGTGTTAAATGCGACTGAGGTTTTATTTGGTTTTGTCTTCCTTCCTGCAGGGAAGTGTCACAGCGACACATGTGGTTCCGCAGCCCTGCTCTAACGGCCTGTCCGTGGTTACCATAGAGACCTGTAGCACAACAAAAGAAGAAGGGGGAAGTCCGCCGTCATTGGAGCAAAGAGCACAGGGGGAGGACTCTGCCGCTGTCACTCACATATCCTGTACCAGTGCAAAGCTTTGTCAGGGGCAGGAAGCCGGGGGAGAACAGAAGGGAGCCCCGGCTGCCAACTCTCCTGCAGGACGCTACAGGAAAAACAAAAAGAGAACTAGAAAAAACACCAGACACGCTGCAGAATCTCCAGGAAATAACAGAAGCACCCCAGAGGCCAATAGAGGGAGCACACCGCAGCCTGCAACAGGAAGTACAACTGAGACCGATGGACCTATTTCACCCAGAGAACCAGTGGTGGCATCAGTGAAAGTCGACACAAAAACAGAAGAGACTCCATTACCCATAAAGCCAGAGTCTGGACCAGGTGGAGATAGGAAGTGTGCTGGCAGGAAAGCAGCGGCCTTGCCCACCATCAACACCACCATAGAAAAACAGGAAGCAGAGAAGTGGGAAGCTGAGCCATTGATATGTGAGCGAGTTGTAGAGACAGGAGCACAGACAGAGCGGGGGGGCACTGGATGTCTCCCAGCAGGACCGGCTGAAGTCAACCCTGATCTGGAATCAGCTGCAGGTAACTTTATCACTTGTACATTAACATGATGAAACAGGAAAAGCTTGTTCTGGTAATCTTCCACCTAATGGATACAAATAAAGAAGTGATCTGGGGAACAGATAGAGTGTGCACACAGCAGCTCTGAATCACACTGCTGATTGTTCAACTATTACACCCAAGAGGGAAATAAGTCTAAGTGCAGGAACAAAAAAACAAGCTAGCAGAGGCTACTTTCCAACATGGGAGCGTGAAGACACTCAGAAAAAGCATTTTATTGTCTCACTAGAATATATACTTAGGGAAAAGTAAGTATATGTTAGTATGGGATTTAGAATACCACATGTGAGTAAAACATGTCTATCTTGTGATTGGATCACACCGGCCATGGTGAGTCAAAGTAGTAAAGAGTGGGAGGAGATGGCTCATTTCTTTTTGTCTTGCACCATTGCTCTGACCACCTCCGGTCAACCTTAATTGTGATATTAAATACACACTGCCCACCTGCACAGTTCTGTGAATGCATCTTGTTGTGATCCTTTTAAAGAGACAACAATTATTTTTGATAAATTTAAAATGTTGAAATAGTTTTGTACTAGCTTTAAAAGTAGTTGTGTATTTCTTCCTCTTTTTGCACAATTGAATTCCTCCTATCGTGTTTATGTGTGCACCATATACAACAATGCAAATTCCTTGTATGAGTAAACCTACCTGGCAATAGAGCAGATTCTGATTATAATTCAGACAGACACAAGCATTTGTTTGACCGGTCTGATCATTTCAATGCTTGTGACCGATATAGCGTTCTCGTAGCAAATGTGCCATGTTTCCAGACTTCAAATGAAATTGGGGGGAAATGATGACCAAGCTAAACAAGTGTATTTTGTCGTCCTTAATCTAATGCTGTCTCTTTACAGTAACCATGGGTCAGGAACAATCGAAGGATCCCCAGGAAAGCCTGTCAGACGCAGAGGAGCCGGGCCAACCTGACACTGTGAACAACAGTCCTCAGAATACCAACCCCAAGTCCCCCGACATGGACATAAAACCTCGGAGAGGGCTGTGGCGGGATGGAGGCTGGATGGGAAGCACAGTGGGATCCCCCCCTCAAGGACTAGACACCGTAGCACACACTGTCTGGTATCAGGGTGAAAACCTAGACCAAGGTGCTGATGAAGACTGTAACAGAGAGGAAGTGAGATCCCAGTCAGTTTGGTATGACAGTGACACACCAGATCAGAGCAAACAGGAACAGCTGGAGCAGGGAATGAGGGAGCAGGAAGAATGTGATTTGGGCTCGGCCCAAGCTTCTGGTCTTAGTTCTCCACAGCTGTTAGATCAGGGACTTGCTTTTCATCAACTGTCCTCAGCTCTTAGTCAGCCACATGCTGCTGGAACACAGCCAGCACTATCACATGGGCCCCGGGCACAAAGACGGGAAGTGCACGGATCACAGCCAGAGGAGGAAGTAGGGCCGGAGTGGAAGGAGGGAGGAGTGGAGGGGGACGGAGAGGAGGTTAGTAACAGAGACACCAGTCACAGCAGAAAGAGTTCTGAAACGGCAGACATCGAGGAGGGAGAAGAGAAGCAAGGGAGCGGAGCAAAGGGCAGAAAAAAGAGGAGGAAGAAGAGGGGAAGGAGAGGAGGCGGGGAGGCCAAACTTAGCTCCAGCTCAAGCATAGACTCTCTAAGTCAGAGAGAACAAGTGACAAACCTGAACTCTCAGTCAGAGAAAGAGTCCAAGGATAAAACAGGAAGCGGAGAGGACGCCATGCATCTACCCAGCCAGACAGAGTGCCAGACCAGGGCCACTCATGTCCCCGACTGCGATGCCACCAACTCAGACTGTACTGGTTCCACTCAGGAGTTTATTCCCGCAGACAGGAAAACAGATCAGACGGCTTCACAGACTCTAGAAACAGAAGGATTATCAGAGGACGACATCATGGACGTTCACGGACCGGATCACTTTAGCACGGATTCTACTGTCACTGCTTCAGAGCTTAGTCAAACGGACATGAAAAACGCAGAGGGAGAGGAAATAACAAGTGTTCAACCAGTTGGAAAGGAAATACTTGAGCCTACAGAGCTGGAATCAAACGGGCTTGCCGGCCTGGTCCAACAAACGTTGGATTATATGGATATAAAGGCAGCGTCCGAAAATAAAGATTTGACGGTTGACAGTAAAGAAGAGACATCAGTGGAGCGGACTGTTTTGGTGGAATCTAACTCTTTAAAGGAACTTACTGTCAAACTTTCAGTTCCTACAGAACTCACAAAGGAAATTGTGGAATTTCCTGAACAGAATTCACAGCATGTAGAAACTGTTGCATCAAACAAACTCAAACAGCCAGTGGATCTCATGGGAAGACCCTTCATGGAATCTGTGTGTCCTACAGAAGCTGTTGGTGTGCCATTTGAAGCTACAGCGGATGTTTTACCACTTGAAATAGGGGAAGGAAGTGCTGAGACGACTGTGAGGGAAAATTTGGAGCATTGTTTGGCCGCTGAGATGCTGAGAGATCAGCAGCACAGGGAGGAAAATACCAACAAGTTGTGTGTGCGTGAAGAGGAAGCGAGTCAGGAAAGAAGTAGGAGTCAAGAAGATGACGGTGGGACGGTTAATGCCAAGGAGCTGTCTCACATAGACAAAGAAAAAGAGCAGAACTACAATGAAAACATAGCAGCCACAGCAATAGCAGTTGTAGCGGTAGCAATAGCATCAGCTATGGCTAGCATAGAGCTAAGCCAAAAGATAGCAGATGAGCTAAGCCAAAAGATAGCAGATGATTTACTGAAGTTGAGGAACAAAGACGAAGAGACCTTTAAACTAGTAGAAGCTGAGACAGAAAAGCATTCAGATACTGAACCTACTGATCAGTTCCCCTCTACAGAAGCTAATGTTGAAGCATCCCAGGACTGTGTCACTGAGGTGTTGCAGTGTAGTGCTGAGACAGAGAAGCCAGCAGCAGCACAGCTGGCTAGCAGGCAGCAGGCTAACCTTGACCTGTCAGCACTTGCAGACACTCCCAGTCTACCACAACTCGACAAAGAGGAATTCCTAAGGGAGAGTAGGCTTAACAAAGTCTTTACATGTTCTCTACCCGAAGAGAACCTTTTGCTGTCCGTTGATATCAAACCTTTGCAGAAAAAGACTAGCAACGAGGTAGACATCCAAGGTCATACGCAGATAGAACTCCCTGGTTTTGTTCCAGAAAAGAAAGATCCTTCCTGCCCTGATTCTGAGGACAGTCTTGGAGAAAACCAGGATCAGTCTATCTGTCAGGAGGAGAGGGGTATACAACATCAGCTTTTAGAATCCATCACTGCCGAGGCTGAATGCAGTCATCCACACAGCCAAGCGGGTGAGGAAAGGGAGAATGGTGAGCAAGCTTCCAGGGAAATGTCAGACCCTGAGCTGGATGGTCCGGTCCAGACAGCGTGTGAAGCAGACGTTCCCATTTTGCCACCTCCTGTTACCCCCTGTAACTCAACTTCTATGGCTGATCCCGGTCCAGAGGAACTCCCTTCCCCTGTGCCAGTGGAAACATACCAGTCATCCCAGTCTTTAGAGGACCTGACCCTTCTCCCTGCTACCCCTCTTGGTGCTTGCAGTGATAAGTTCCAGAGCGAAGGCCATGAGAGTGTTGCTATGAATGTTGCTGAGGTTGGCGTGTTTGAGGGGAAGGACACTCTGGATACAGTGGATGGATGGAAGGAGAGAGAAAATAAGAAGGTGATGAGGAAAGACATGGTCTCACTGGACGACACACCCTCGACAGGTAAATAACTATCCATTACTAAAGTGATTATATCTTTCATGTCCTGCTCTCTTTTTATTTTGTTCACCATTCATCTTTCCCTTCCATTATCTCTATATTTACCTGGGATCAACATATTAACAAGTATTACTACATGATGTCCTGCCAGGGTCATATTTATTGAGGAATGGCCAGGCTAAGTTTTATTTTTATATAGCACCAAGGCAATTCAAATGCTTTACAAAAATAAAAAAACATTAAGACTATTAAGAAATAGTGCAGCGGAATCACATTTTAAAATGACATTTAAAAACAGTCGTTAAAAAGTGAAAATAATCAAATAAACACAAAACAAGCTAATATAGAATAACACAGGTATAAAATACATGAAAGTTGTAAGATAGGAATAGACATTCACTCAACATCTATTGAGCTAGCTGCTAACCATTAGCCTAATGTGGATAACACACTAATGTTAACCAGAAATTATTTTTGAAATCCTGGATAAATGATGTGTTTTGATCCGATAGAAAGACTTACTTGCTTTTTATGAAACACCATCCCTTCTCTCTTTTCAAACCATAAATCCATGTACACGCCTGGTGGGAATAACACGCATGCCTGTAAAACAGAAAATGGCTTCCGGTTTTGTTTTGAATTTTGCCAACTCCAACATGATGAGCGTTAGCAGGCTATCACCCACTGCAGTTGCTGTCATGTCACCAGATATTGTTTAGACATTAATAAGAAAGTTTCAATTGATATTATGCTATTGTGATTTTGAATTGGCATTGAAGTCAAAGCACATTCAGGAATACAAAATCGTTCATTTCTAGATGTCTCAAGGTCCATGTAGGGAGATTTAACTTCTATCAAGACTCAAGTGTCTGACATTTAGAGAATATTTATGTTTGTTGTATTTATATTTGATTGGATTAGGGAAGAGATTCAAGTCAGAATTCTAACTGTGAGCTCATAATTCAGATTTCTTTCTCAGAACTCAAAACAAAGTTCACTTTTGGTCAGATCTTCAAAAAGCATTTCACATGTGGCCCTAATCCTCAGAGAACTAAACCCCCCCAAAAAACGTCTCTTTCTGGGGGTTTGTATGCCTAACACACTCCAATACACATGCTTCAAATTCATACTGACGATGAGACGCAATGAACAAAACACACCCACTAAGTTAGATCATGTGTTTTTCAACCAGCCATGAAGGAACATTTCTCACAGTTTGATTTATTGGTCGGTAGTTGGCAAGTAGTAGTCAGTATAAGGATCTACCCCCACCCCCCCTCCATTTTGAACGATGCTGGCTGCTTTTAGAATAGAAGGAAGCCGGAGCGTAGTGTCAGCTACAGGGCAGGAGCTGAGTGTGTCTCTGTTTATATGGGGTAAGGTATCCAGGCAACCTGATGATGTCATCAAGACTTAACATTGGACAGTGAAACTAGAGGTGGGCTGAGAAATGTGTGTGTGTGTGTGTGTGTGTGTGTGTGTGTGTGTGTGTGTGTGTGTGTGTGTGTGTGTGTGTGTGTGTGTGTGTGTGTGTGTGTGTGTGTGTGTGTGTGTGTGTGTGTGTGTGTGTGTGTGTGTGTGTGTGTGTGTGTTGGTAGGGTGTGCTGTGACATGTGAGTGTTTGGATGTGTGCAATAAGTTTGTGTGTGTCAGTGTGTTTCTCTGCATGTGTTAGGGTTTTAATGTGCTCTTACATATGAGTGTTTGGATGTGGGCTTCTGTATGTATGTGTGTGTCTGTCTGTGTCTCTGTGTGTGTCAGGGTTTCAACATGCTGTTACATATGAGCGTTCAAATGTGTGTATTTAGTATTGTTGTGTGTTTCTGTATAGAGCCAGTAAAAATAGTACTTCTAACATTTGTCATTTGTATTGAGCTGGTCACCAAATCCCTAGCACAGCCAGCCTTTATTTTCAAGACTGAATAGGAAATGATGCTTTTTATTTACGTTGCAGGATCCTTCTGTTACTAGCTGAAATCTAATGACAGGTTGAACAAATCCTCTTCATTAGTTTAACTTCCTTTAACACTAGGTCAATTTGACCCGAAGCTGTTTTTTGATTGTATGTAACTTTTTTTCAATAAAATATTCAAGTCTCCCAGTCCGTGACTTTTCCTGAAAGTGTGTTATCTAGCACCCTCTGTTGTTAAAAATGGTGAAGGCAAATAGATAGATAGAGAGAGAGATAGACAGATAGATAGTTGTAGATTGATCGATAGATAGTTATAGATAGACAGAGAGAGAGATAGAGATTTGTACCGAAACAAAACACAAGTCTAACACCAAGCGTTTAAATCAGCACTGGTAGCGATATTTTATACTTCATGCTATCTGCACAAATTATATCATATGAAAAGCTGAGAGTCCACAGATTCTATTGGTATACGTTTCATCCCTGTGTGATCAAAACTCACTGTTCTTGCATGATAAATAAAATTTTACCTTGAAAATCAATAGCGGGTAAATTTGACCCGTTGGCGGTTTTAGGTATACAGCGACCTCTGGCGGTTCTAGTGTTAAAGATAAGTAAGTATCTTAGTATCACCCAAACATGATAAAATGGAAGTTAATATATTCACTTTCATAGTAAACTTTCTTAATAAAATGAAATTGACCATCCATAGAAGAAATCTGTTTTGGAGAATCTGGATGACCTACAGTGCGGATAGGAGTTTACAGTAGAACAGAATAAATACCCAGATGAAAGGCTAAGCTGCTCCAGGTTTCTGTTACTGCTCATACTGGTTTACTGGCACGGTTATGGTTTACCAGGACACCACAACGAAAGAGAGCCATGGTTAATGAACAACATACATTCTTTCTAACCTCATGAATACACTGGCTGTTGTGTTGTTTAGCCACTGTCCATGTAGTTAGGAACACTTGTGCTATTGTGTATCACAGCTGTGTTGTACGAGATCAGAGATTCTGATTTCACTTGGTCAGTCATTTGGTTCTACTCAAGTTCTAAAGCATTCTGTATCCCTCCAAAAGACTGACACATGCTGCTTTTAAGGCACAGTCATAATCATTTATATTTCATGTTAATGTGCGGAAGGTGCGCTCAGAAAAGAGATCTATGATTGATCAATTTGAACAACCAATCACAGCAGACAGTTACCTTTGCCTCCGTAAATATCAGTCTATGGCAAATATGGAGAAGTTGTTTCTTTTAGTACAATCTGTTGTCAGTGTACCTATATTCAATGTATGAGCACTGCTGCTAGAATGTGTCATGATCATTAATACCCTCTGGTGTCAGTGTCCCTCCAGCACCCAGATACACAGAGTAGAGACAGAAACAGTGTTCTTCTAGGAAAACAATGCTCCCAAGGACAATATTTCAATACTTTAATAATAACGTTTGGAAGAGGATCTGATGGTACAGTTAACTGTTAATGGTTGCTTAGCAGTGTTTACTGCAACCTGTCTCAGTGCCATTAAATGTTGCCAGAACTGCCAATCCCCCAACTTCATGTCTTGGAGCCGGTAAAAGACGGTGACTGTGTACAACCCCTAAGGCTGCATTCACATCATATCAAGCGTGGCGAAAAAGCCAGTCCTTCCATTTATCTGAGTAAGGGTGGTGTCTCAGCAATTTAGGGGTTGGAGGAGTTAAAACAGACTCAACATTTGTAGAAACGCAACCAGACGGAACACACCGGTTGCCAATTATGCCTCGAGGGAGTAGACAAGACATACGTCGTCGTGCAGCTCCACAGTGACGCTGTGTGAATGCATTCTCACATTGCTGATGGATAGGAAAAGTAAAGAGTTAATACCAAACTCTTGTGCTATGCTAATCTCCACACTCTCACAGCGAAGGAGGATATATGATCAGAGCAGGTCTTGTGTCGGTGCTAGTCAATATTTCACAGCCATTTCACAGCCAGTAGAGGTGGGAGAAGTACTCAGATCTTGTACTTAAGTAGAAGTAGAAGTACCAGACCGTGTAAAAGTAACAGTCCTGCATTCAAAATGTTTCTCAAGTTAAAGTGCAAAAGTATTAGCATCAAAATACAGTACTGGAGTAAATGTACTTAGTTACTTTTCACCACAGCCAGCCAGCAGCATCACGTCCTTGATAGACCAAAAGAAAAGGAGAGAATCTTAAATGAATGCTGCCTCACTAAAAATCATCAGGATGAAGTGAGGCCAACAATCGGTTAGAGGCAGCCACAGTGGCAGCTCTGTACGTGAACTGCGTAATATTCCAGCACTTTCTGACTCAGGGACAAGCTTTCCATTTCACCCCCCTAATTATTTTAACCAGGAGCATTACTGAGTCACATGAGAGGAGGAAACTCCCTGCAGGATCTCTCTGACTCACCCACATTGTCTGTGCTGTTTTTCTGGAATTCTGCATGGCGCTTTAAAGCAGCACCTGCCCAATGTCACCAGCACACCACAAGGTAGTCATCACTGCTTCCATAACGACAGGGACATATCACGCTTTGAAGCGGTTGTGCTGAAAGGCTTCTACCTCAGATGCTTGTAAATCTCATCAGGATCATTTGAAATTATTTCACATCATGAAGCAGCAGAGGTCAGAAGCAGTGTGGATTGCTTTTGATTCAGTTGACCAAGTTTATTTCCGCTTCCTGTGTTTTTGACCGAGTTAATAATCTAGTAGGTGTGGAGTTTACCGTTGTTGTGATGTGACTCTACTCTCTAATGTCAGGAGCCATACTGTTGCAAGTTGTGGTTGAAAGTTATTTGAGTATAAGAGTATTATAGTCAAATAAAAACGGAATTATATTTTGAAAGGGCCCTTTTGAAACAATATATAGCCCCTGGTTTTAAGCGCATTATGAAAGACCATTCAGGCATGTCCAAATGTACTTTTGCTAAGTTACCATCTGTGTGTTCAGAGCCTCATATGAATCAAATAAATCAGGGTCAGCTCCTGTTCCTTTTGAAAACCAGGTGCAGGCACATTTCTTTGTAAATAGTGAATGCAGCATTTGGAGAAGTGAGAGGTTTTCTTCAGATAAAACAAAGTCAAATTGTACATGCAGTTTGACATCTTACTATCACGGCTTTAAATAGCAGAGGACCATTACCCTTGGACCAAATGTGTTTTGGTCAATGATGCAATGGTTTTATTTAGCCATCATTAGCAATGAACCAACAATGACCTAACCACACCACACATTGTAGTTTAACTTTAAATCTGCATCATCACCTGAAACACAATTCAGAACTTTTTTTAAATCACATAATGACTTTGTTTGTGTGTCCACCTATTTAAGACATTATTGTTTTCATGAATCCCTCAATGACGAAACACATCATACTAAATGGTATTGTTATATCATCTGCTACCACAGTCTGTTGGTGTGCTCCATCACAAACACATGTCATGCCTCAGCTGAACTGTAGGGAAGAGGACTATTCTTTATAGCGCAAAGAGAAAAATGCAACATTAATGGTTTATTATATTATGACGTAAATGTAATCAGTAGAATATGTCGTGTATTGATGAAGCCGTGTCCTCTGTTCTCTACAGTAGCCGAGGAAGAAGAATGTCAGCAGAGCAGGAACGAACCAGACGACACGCACACTCTGCAGGTGAGTTAAGAAATTTAAATATTTAAATGTAACAGCCAAAATGGTTCCTGGTCCTCTAATCTTCTACTCCATTGGGTATGACTCAGGTAAATGGTCGTTTACTAATCAGAAGGTTGGTAGTTGGATTCCCGCATGTCAAAATGTCCTTGGATGAGATACCTAATCCCAAATTGCTTCAATACGGTGTGTGTGTGTGAGTGATAGTCCTCCTGAGCAGGTGGCACCTTGAATGGCAGCCTTTGCGTCTGTATAAATGGGGGCATGCTGACTTGTGTCTGTTAAAACACTTTTGAGTGGTTGCAAAGGCTGTAAAAGCTCTATATAAATTCAGTCGTTTGACTAACACTGATACAGCTGCATGAAACCTCCTAGCAGTAGCAACACATTTAATCTGACGTTTTTCCGTATGTGAATAAACGTTGTTGGCACATGTCCACAGCTGTCTGGGATGATGTAAGGGGCAAAGAGTCAATGGGGCTTTTAAACGCTGAGCACATGAACGCTCACTGTTTAAAGCTCAAAGTCTGTCATGGAGTTCTACACACACCAAAGCTTACACAAGAATGAAAAACTGAGTTTGGAGATGAGATAAAAGTGCACACACACCTGGCCTACTATGTTTTCCGTTGAATGAACATGAAACATGGTTGAAAGCCCTTTCTGTGAAGCACAATGTGGCCTCATTCATTTTATATAGAATTTCCTATCATGTTTGTTTTTTAGAAAATTGAGCTATTTGAGATAGACAGAGCATTTAGCAGGTAAACACACCAAACGAACCGAGGAAAATACAAGCTGTGGGAATCTGAAGATAAGTGATACGTTTCCAGATAAGAACGGCAAATCACAGCTCCCATGATTCTGCCTGCACATGGCTTCCTTCAGATGATATGAGCATTAGTTAGCTTTCCTCACATCCTCACTGCTTCTCCAGGCCTCTGGAGATTAGACCAGGCCAGACTAAGATCCCCCAAAATCCCCATCAATCCTGTTCCAATGTTTCCTCATGACGCAGCCACTGCTCTCATGGAGCAGCAGGTCACTGCATGGATATGGGAACCTTAAGACGTGTGTGTGTGTGTGTGTGTGTGTGTGTGTGTGTGTGTGTGTGTGTGTGTGTGTGTGTGTGTGTGTGTGTGTGTGTGTGTGTGTGTGTGTACATGTGTACGTGTGTGTGTTCTCAAATTATCTTTCTTAGGAACACTTTAATGTCCCTGAGCAGTTAACACAGTAAATGCTGCATTAAGGTAAAGAACGAGTGGTTTATAATGGTGCAGGAATGAGTGCTACACCCGGATATGAGTTAGCATTTTAGCCCGTATTTCACACGTTTTTTGAATGTGTTTTAGGTTGAATGCCTGAAATAAGCTCTGTGATTAAAATATTCTTATGAGGTTTCCATAATTTCACAATTAAGAATGATAGAAATTGATTAAAGAGCATCTTGCAGGTTTTTTTTTTTCTACATTCATGCTTAAACTTGCTTGAAAATTACAATTAAAAAAGTGAATGTAGGATTT